TTCCCTACATATAATAAAAACAAAAAATAAAATAGCTAGAAAGAGAAGTAAAGACAACTGGGGCCTTCAGTTCACTTTGAGCTGTCTTGAATAGGAACCAACGGCAGTTTGCCTCCGTATATATCTGGAAGCTGATCTTCCTCCATGTCTTCGAGCAGTGTAGATGCCAGTTTCTTGTCCTCCACGAAAACAATCTGCCCACAAGATTTTCCATTCATTTTCTTCAACAGATTCGAGTGATCTTCGATATTTCAGTTTCCGCAACTCAGAGACCGAGTTTTACCTTCTTCTTCGTGTTGCAGTCGATAAACGGGTAAATGATTTTCCAAGCAGCCAGGAAAACGTAAGGGGCATGAACTATACACAGTTTCCCCAGTCTCTCTGGGTGATAATCCTGAAAAAAAAAAAACAAATGGTAAAGACTCATGAACTCGGAATCTGACAGATACTGTACATATATGTCGTCTGTTCTGTCTCGCTCGGTAATTACAGCATCTGAATCACTATACTTTGATGTGTTCTTCCTGTTATCGATGAACTCGGGACAGAAAAGATCGAATGTCTTTACCTGTAGGATCGATAGAGAAGCTAGGTATCCGCGCACGTCACAGTTAGAGTATCCCCATCCTTGGAGATCTCCAATGGCTATGAACCTTTCCTCTCCCCTCGGCATCCTACAATGAAAAGCAATGTATTATCATCTTCTTCAACTAGGTTAAAGATCGTGTTTTTAGTAGCGGGTGAACTCGAGGATCTAGCAGAACTTCGCATCTTTTTCTTAGCTTAAAGATAGATAGATTTAGTTCCCACAATTCAGCTTAGATTCCTGGAAATGAATGGAATTGATTCTGTGAAAATATGCCATTACCGGTCAGCTATCTTCTGCAGGGTGTAGACTAGAAAGCCTGCAATACACGAGCAAGATAGACATGGAAACACCCGAGAAATTCAGATCCACAGAAACTGAAGGATGAATACAAGAAAAAAACTTCATAAAGGTTTATCATTTCTCTGATGAAGATCCAAGAATTAAGATAGACATAGAGCCAGCTCGGGATGGAATGCGTACTCACGCTTGAATTCTTCCGGGTTCCCTTTAGAAGGGTTATGCCTGTTCCCGAAGATAACTACCACAGGTCGACCCCTCTTGTCACGACCTGCCATACACGTCTTGTTATGGGAAAGCTCATTCGTGATCTCCGATTCGGATATGTAACCGTTGGGTAGAAAGGTTCGTTTCCAATTTAGGTACTTCAGAAACATGGTAGAAGCCTTCTCGATATCGTGGTTCCGTGCTCGGAGAAATCTCCTGAGCATCAAATCATCCACATCCTGAGAAACAATGGCGATACATACGCTGTTACAACCCTATAATCACGTCGATGCGCCTTGATCTCTAAAAGAGTTTGCGCAATTATGGACATATGCAGTAGCATTTTCGACATCATAGAACAAAATCGATGAACAAAATCGACGTAATCTCAAGGTTCTCTAAGACGGCATTTTGCTTCTTCACTACGGATGGAAGAGTTTATAACCCAAGCAACGAAACCATACTTCAGTGCCCTAATTAGTTTCATTGCCAAAAACAGATACCCAAAATTAAAGCCTCAGCAACTGAATCAACCTCGAAGATCGACGTAAACCAGCTCCAGTAATTCGAATTTCTTACGAACTCGAAGCAGAAATCAAGCAGAAACGAAGGAACAACCACAAAACCTATAAAAAAAAATCAGCCGGAGAAGAAGAAGACGGTTGACCTTGGTTGACTGATCCTCTCTCTCGCACAGAGCCCTCATGATCCCGACCTTGCTCCTCTCAATCTCATCCTCGATCACCGGACCATTCTCTATCTCTTTCCC